AGGTTCGTTGAACCTCGTTTAGTCCAGGTATAAGGATACATGTTTGAATAGCACTTATAATATTTGTGTATTGATGTTTTGAAATATCATTTATTGACATAATGTTTTAAGTATTATAAATTATGTTCCTAAACACATATGCTATAGAACGAGCTATGTGATTATTTAGGATCTATTGTGGTGGAGGAGATAGGGGTATACGATTTATTATAGCATGTCTTTTGGTGCATTTCTGTGGTAGGATGACATGAATTATGAACATCCTAGGTGGTTCGAAGTGTATATAGCGACTGTGAGAATGCCGCGCAATTTATATGGTGTACTGTGCTTATGAATTCTAGTTTGTATACCTGTTTGATAAGTGATGGTGTTTTTATTATATATTAATTTATTATGTTGTAATATGACCTGTCTTTGTAATACTCACTTGTGCTTTATAGTAATCTGTTTACATTAATGTTTTATCACTGATTTCATCATTGCTTAGTTAATCTTAAGTTAATTTTAAGCCAGCCCGTAATGCTATGCATAGTATAAGTGGCTTTGGCATGCTGCTCTTATCTGTATTTTTTTGTACCTCTGTATGTGTGCTCAAATTGGAAATAAATAAATAAATAAATAAATAATGTTTTAAATAAAATATATAAAAAAAATTCTCTTCATATTAATATATTGAAAAAGTATGGGTGAACTAATGAGATATGAAATTACCATCAATGAAATGAAATAATACAGTGTACCCCCCCCCAAAAAAAAAAAACTCAGCAGACTACAGAGTAGTCTCCCCGACACACAAGAGAAAATGGGTTCTCGTGAACCTGTGAAAGAAAATGTGTTTTAACACTGCGTTTGTTTAGTCTATCTTACTTATTGCCAAGAAGAAATGTAACCATATAAGAAGTAAGATTTTTATATTCATACTATATGCAAAGACCACAAAAATTAAGTGCACTTTTTTCCCTGTTCAGCTCGTAGTCGCCTCAGCTTGCACACTGAAGTACCCAGGTTCGATTCCCTACACAAGTGGAAATGTTGGGCATGTTTTCTTACACCTGCTGCCCCTATTCACCTAGCAGTAAGCAAGTACCCGGGTGTTGGGCGACTAGTGTGAGTCGCATCTAGGGGTTGATTAAATGACCCCACTGGAAATATGGAAATAAGACAGTCCCCGAGGGGTTAATAACCTCAACACAGTCTTCCCTACACAACATTACACAGTAGTACTTACTATGCTACACTATCTTGGTATAGAAAATTTGGACATGACAATGTGACCCCTTTTTCTTAAACGGGTGAAAACTCTTACATACCACAAATTTTGCAGTGATTTTTTTACAAGGCGGAAGTAACCTAGTGAAAAACTTTGATAGAATGACGAAAAAAATCATATAACTAATACCCACGTAATATTTTTTTGTTTATAATTTCTCCTGATTAACAAAACACCAACACAACCTAGAGTCAGACTTCTCTGCATTTACATAATAGCCCCCCATCAAAAAAAAAAAATAGAAAGGAAATCTGTTGATCAACAAACTAGAGTCATCGACACCATGCCTAACCCTTCTAGGGTAGGGTAGGTGCCTGAGCCCGAGCCTTTAGCTCATCAGACTGTCATTCCCATCTGCCCCCTTGGGGCGGGGATGGCAGACCAGAGAGGCCTAGCTTGTGGCTAGGCCTGGGGACAGTTGGTCCCGAAGATGAGGAGGTACTTGTGCCTCCTCCCATGGGAGACTTAGGTCTCAGACACTCCCTAAAGAGGGAGCCAAGGCCGGGCCACCACTAGGAAAAGGCCCGGGCCGGGAGAATACCGGCGAATCTTTAATAATAATAATAATAACAAACTAGAGTGCAAACTAATCTCGCAATACTTTTCTGGGTCACCTATCAGAGCACCGACTTCAATGTTTCCAAGAAATTCATTCCTTATACGAGTTAGAGATTCTGGGAAGTGTGTGGATAATAAGGCACTAGGTTCGCCTGGTAGTCTCCACAAAGCCTCACAACTCACCGCGGCCGCCAGAAAGCATTTAATCTGCGCGAGGCGTCAGAGATCCTCCTCTTTTACAAAAAAAAAAAAAAAAAAATATTTCTTCAGGGGGTTCAAGTTTAGCATCATAAGTTTTAATCAGTGACTGGAGTTCTCAACTTATTTCATCAACCAGTTTTACCCATTTTCTTCACTATTTTTTAAGTAACTCAAGTTTCCCCGGTGGAAAATAAATAAAAAAGTTAATGAATTTAAATGAATTTGACTAAGCGATTATACTGACTTTGTCAAGAAAAGATGTTAAATTTTTTATCTGGTTAAATGTAGGATTTGAAGCCTATCGACCACATGAGGCTCATTTGATCACTAGAAGATCCATACGTATTTAAAAATAATAATTGTACTAAGTTGTTTGTTTTTTTAAATGTGTATTAAAGACATTTTGAAATATACATCGCGATATCTCTTTTTCCCACTTTGTATATATTTTGGTAAGAATGTCTCTGATGTGTATAACCCCAGAACTGACAGAGTATGTACACCTGGGGTGTGTATATCTTTATATCAAGAATATACACACTGAGAGGGGTGTGTATATCTTTATATCAAGAATATACACACTGAGAGGGGTGTGTATATCTTTATATCAAGAATATACACACCGAGAGGTATGTACATTAATGTTCGGTGTATATATGCTGAGTTCAATCCTTATTTTAGGGTTAAAATATTCTTGACTAGTAGTGAACATGTTACATGTAGCCTTAATGACCCTCCCGTAGTCGACAGGTTTCAAACCTACTAAAGCGTCATTTTTCCAGTTTATCCAGGGAAATAACACCAAAATATTTAATAATAATCTTCAGTGATAATGAAAAAATAATGAAGAATGAATATTTAAAATTACAGAATACATGACAATTAAAATCTAAAATAAATATTCCACGAACATATATAATAATTTTCTATAATCATTTATAATTATTTTTACAATGGTCTATAAACAGAATAGCTCACTAAACACCAATTTGTTTTATTTGGCTGGTTAGTCATGTTAATGATTTTTTTAAGCAATTAGTCAAGCACAAAATTACGAATAATTTTGTAATTATTTTAATTTATTACTGTAAATTACGAGACTTTCAGTATCTGCTGTGACAGTTTACAAAATAAAAAAGTTACCCATATATATTTTTTCTATATATAATCGTATGTCCTAAAAAAATTGTAAATGACGAATGAGTTTTTGTTCAATTATACTTAAAAATTTAAATTTCCTTAACAATCTCACTGTAATTACTAATTGATATATAGGTCGCCGAGGTTAAATAATCACCGCTAGGATAATCACTCTTCTTAATGACTTTGTGTATTAATTATCCCAGTAAAACATTAGGTTTTTTTTTTGACGATTAATGTAAATGATTATCAAAAGGACTAATTAACTATTTTTTTTTCAATTTTCCTTCTAAACTATTCGCGTAATTATTTATTTGTATAAAATCTTAAATCAATGTAATCGCTGTAAAAAAGGTCTGGTCTGGGACCGGGCCGCGGGGGCGTTGACCCCCGAAACCTTCTTCAGTATACCATCCACAGGTTTTATATATACATCGTCAGGTTAGGTTTGGTAGGATCGTCAGGCAACAGGACAAGTGTTTCCTGACGCGGGTCTTAGTTATATGATGACCCGCAGCTGCAGCTTTTGGTCATCTGACCGAGGCCTTCTACTGGCTTACCGGTCCACCCCTTTAAAAATTATTGTTATACATGGTCAGGTGTATGTCTCTCAATGTATATATAATATATATATATATATGTATATATATATATATATATATATATATATATATATATATATATATATATTATATATATATATATATATATATATAAAGGTTTACTTTAATCCCCATTTTAGGGAATAAAGTATCCTTGACTGGCGGTGACCAGATTATGCGAGGCTTTAATTAATGAACTTCGCGTGGTCGATAGGCTTTAAACCTCGTAAACCAACCTCTCTTCTGTCCTAGCTCCACCCCTCCACTCACGCCTCTCTCTATCACCCTTCCTTCCTTCCTTCCTTCCTTCCAACACCTCATTCACTTTTCTCCCCGATCATCTGTACTATCAAAAAAAAAAAAATAACGAATGTCCCCAAAAAACTATATCTGACTGACATGCTGAGCATCAACCTGGGGAAGCGCTAAACCCGTATGGCTACTTCCACTTCGTTGGAAGAAAAGAGTCCTTCGCGGGCGTATGATAATTTTTCTTCCAGCCGTATGTTCTAGGCGAGCAAGAGTCTAAAGAGATTCCCCCCCCACCCCAAAAAAAGGGCCGCCTTAAGTTAATTGTCCGAAAACAATAGAAAATAAAATTAAAATTCGATGGATGAGACAACAGGACTCATGTCTCCTGCTCCCTGTCCCCAGTTCCCTGCCTTCTTAACCCTGCCTCCTGTTCCCTGCCCCCTTCCTTCTGTTCCCAGCCCCAAGCCCCTTGTCTCCTACCCCCTGCCTCCTGTCCCCTGCATCCTGTCCCTTGCCTTCTACCCCCTGCCTCCTGTCCCCTGCCTCCTACCCCCTGCATCCTGTCCCCTGCCACCTACCCCGTGCCTCTTGCTCCCTGCCCATCTTTCTTTGGAACATGAAGAGCAGTCACCTCCAAGTAGTAAGATCAGGACACTTCCACAACATACGTAACCTTTCTCATAATAATAATAATAATAACAATTATTATTATTATTATTTTCGTTGTTATCCCCCTATTTCTGCCCTTACCCCTTTACCTGAGCCTTCCCCTGCCAGTGATGCTGAATACAATAAACAAAGCCGGTGGTGTACATGTTACATGCAACCTAGTGTAGTTGACAGGTTTAAAACCTAGTAAACAAAGCAGCCCACAAAACGGATTCCAATCTGCTCCTGCAACAGTAATGAACCCCAACGGAAGCTGGGAGATAATACAAAATGTTACAAAGAAACCATCAGTGAAGGGGCTAGCTCAC